ATTCGGTACTTCGATGAGCTGTCGCGAATGATAGGAATCGTTGTCAAGAACTATTACACTATTCGCATCCAAATTTAGGAATAAATGTGTTTTCAAACGATTCCTCAAAAATATTAGCTTTCATGTTCTTTTGATAGTCAACGTTGCAGTCCTCAAGTTTTTTTCCACATAAGTTTAAAGAATTCGGAACTCATTCTTTACTTCCTCTGTAATGCACAGTGATTAGTCGCTATCCTTTGTCAGCAGGCACGTTAAGCGTACACATTGTCAAACCATCAGTCCATCCTTTCGTAACTGTGTGGTGAGTGTCATACCAAGTTTTGTCGTTGCCGTTGTTCTTGTCTATATTCAGTTATTTGTTCCAAGTATTTGTTACGCACTTCCACTATTCTTTCATTGGTATCCCTTTTTCGCATTGTTCGCCATCGCTATTGAATTCACTATTTATAACCAAAAAAAAATTATTAGAAGCATGATTGGAGTCAAGCCTAATACATCTTGTAATTCAATATTTCCAAAGATAGGTATTCTCACCGAGTATTCACTATATATTTTTCAAATTACTCTGAATATTAAAACACAAGAGAATTCCATTCTTAAAATTAGCGGTTTACACAAGTACGATACAAGAAAGTGTGGTAACTTGAACATATATAAAGGTATTCTCTGTTATAATAGATTTATAGATTTGCTTAATAGCAAAATTGATCTTGCCGATCTGAGGAGTTTCAAAAACTCCCTATACAAGTATTTAGAATCCAGGGCATTCTACTCGTTAGAGGAATTTCTAGAGACATGAACTTATATGTTGTAATTAGGTATATTCTTATTTATGTCTGTATTTGTTTTTTATACTTCTTCACGTGCTAATTTTTGTATGTAGACTTAATACTGAATTTACATAATATTTTGTGACGAGTCCAATGAATTATACATTCTGTACTTCTTTTTGTAATAACTTCATTGACGAATAAAGTTCTATTCTACTCTATTCTACACTGAAAAAAGTCTGCGTTGTTATCACACTCGTTATTACTATTAGTAATAACGTCCAAGGACGCCACATTTCAAACAGATAACAAAAATTTCAAGCAATTATAACTGCACCAATATCGAATTTCAACACTCAAATCGCGATCAGTTCCTGAACTGAACATTGACAACACGAAGGCTATAACCATCCTCGCATTCTATTCGTCACCGTAACATGACTTCAAATTCAATTTTATGACTCTTCAGCCAATCATAAAACTCGGTTAGTAAACATTATCTAATACGAACCGCCAATTCTTCAGTCCACGTGGACTGGTTGGCAGCGGCTTCATTTCTTTGTATTGGTTTTTTTGGCCTTTGAAAGCACAGACACCTTTAAGTATGCACAATACCGTTTACTTCGACTATACCAAAGTATTCCTTAACTCAAAAATATCAGCATTTTAGAGGTCATGATTTCCGAAGAAAAAAATTCAAATTGATTCATATTTCGGAAACGGTAACAGATAGGTTTAGGGAAATATCAAGAAGAGTTGTCGGGTAATTGTTGTAGATTCAAAAAATGATGATATATATATACAGGGTGTTCTACTTGAAAAATCAAAATTGCTACTACTTTCCAATGGAAGTGGCAACACCGCATTGTCGAGAATATTTTAGTTGAGTAGAGAATGTCCGAACACGCTCTCCATCGAATTTTCGGAGTGATCCGGTGTCTGGAAACGTCTAATGTCTCATCCAGCGTCTCATAAAGCGTCTCTGCTAGACTAGCAGAAATTCTGCTAGTATATAAATAACGTCTACGACGAACGTTACCAACTAGTATATGATATGAATGTAATATTACAGAAAGGTGGCTTCAGCAGCTCAGACACCACAGACAGTTATTCCCCGCTTTGCATCCCCCCTCTTTGACCCGTCTGGAGTATATTTTGAGATGTTTAGCTTCCATGTCCAATATGGTAAGTCTCTGCTTTGGAAATTATAACATTATCATCAACACTTCGATTCCAGAAAGCGTTCTGGAAGTGCTGCCCTTTCAACAAGGAGATCAGAGGTGAGATAGTGGCAACCTTGAGAAAAGGAACCCCCGAGTGGTTCGGAGCTTTAAAATTGTCCATCATGACTTCCGAGGAGTACGATCCTTCGTTTGTAGTTTTTTGTTCGGAGTTGTACGTGCAAATGCAACACGGTCTCTCTCACTATCATCCACTTTTTGAGGGGTAAGTACTGGAATGGATACACTCGAATCTCAATAGGGTTTGTAAAAGAACTAGCTGCTCTTTTTCGCCTTCATAAAGAATTATTGATTTCGGAAACTCACTCGGTTCAAATGAATGTTGAAACTGCTCCATAAAGTTATTTTATACATACGTCATTCAAGCGTTTTATGTCTGCCAAAGGCAAACTATTAATTTTTATACATATCCAACTTTGTTTAACGCTCGATTTGGTATGAGGCTAGAATTGCTCATAAAAATACTCAGTTCCATTTCTGCCTCATTCACAACTTTACGATCAATTTCCATTAAATAGAAACGATTCGCTTTTATGACACTTTGTTTTCTTTGAGGTGGAATAATACGTCCTCAAAAATGCCGTCACATAAAACTACCGATCAAAAATATTATAGAACAACCAAGCCTCGATAGTTTCCTTGATAACTTCATTTCCAGTACCTGGGTGGTCCCAGAGGTACCTGGCCTGATTTAGAAATGGCGGTGGTTGTTTGAAAAATATTACTGTATCAGAAACTACACAGTCTATAAAACATATGTTTCAAGTTTGAAGACACTGCGTTGTTTAATATTTGTTTGGCAGCCATCAACATCTAACTTTTTCGGTGAATTTGTGAAAATGGAGAGAATTGGTCGTCGTTATGTGGTACAATACTTTCTTTCCAAAGATATCTGTCCAACCAAAATGAAAGCTGAATTGGATTATACTCTGGGTGAGTCTGCTTATTCGTTAACAGGTAGCATAGTTTTAACGAGGCCGTACTAGCTACCAATATGAGCATCGCAGTGGTCGACCAAATGAAGTGACGACCCCAGAAAAGGTGAAGAACATACATAAAACGGTACTCAATGATCTGGTCTTTCGATTTCTCTTCTATATCGAGTGGTGGTATTCACAGTTTGTGTCACTGTTCCATTATTATGATTAATGTTTGTCAAATCCTCATGATTATATCTGATTTTAGAAACATTATCGTTAATTTTTTTCTTTAATATCCTACCGACTGCGCCATGTTATGATAGGTTTATTGTGCTCTTTCCGATATTGCAATGAGGTGCGCTTGCGCATTATTCATGACACCGTGAGCAAACTCTTATCATTTGATGAAACTTGGCGTGCTTTTTTTGGTCTTTGCTCTCCTGATTTCGATGTCATAGCCATATATCCATGATTCCTGAGCGAAGCTCATTCGACGGTTTTTTTGGCCAAAATTCAGCAATTTTGGAACGAACTCCGCTGCCAGAGCCTTCATGCCCGGAATTTCCGTCGATCTATCAGGAAAAAGTCAATGCTGATGTACAGATACCACATTCAATTCGATTATGAAATTCAACATTTGATTATGAATTGATCGTTCAATCATTTTGCTTATCATCATCATCTTTTTCGAAGATGTAGGATGTATTTTCCTATTTTGAAAGTATGTCCCAGACTAACTTTTACAAATTAGTTTTGAACCATGTAGTAATTAATTTGCAGTGAATCTTTACTCTATACTTGCCACTTTTCAGCTTCACTTTTCCACTTTGTTGAGACCCACTGTAATTTTGAGATGTATATTCAATGTTATTTAGCCTGTAAGGCTTATTTGAGCAAATGAATAAATGAATATTGAAGAGTAGATATATGATGCCGTTTCTGGGACAAAATCCCATACTTCCTGTCATGACCCTTCAATTCAGTGATTTTCAGATCTCTGAGCGGAACCTTGTGGAACACCCCACTTGAGGTAGGTGTAACGTGTGTAAGACTGATTGATGCAATATGTATGTATGTATGATCGATACGGTGATGACGTCAGTGACTAAATAGAGAAAATGCAAAGATGGCGCAACATGTCAGAGGGGCACTAAGCCGTATATTTGCTAGTAATAGTCGCATAGTATTACTCTTTTTTTTGGTACCGTGGGAGCTGTCTGCCTTGTCCATTTAGTCCAAGTCTGAAGAAAACACTACAGCCTCTTGGGCTTATTGCGTTTATTCTTCCATCTTCTCATGACACCCATTCCATCAGCCACGTTCCTTGTACTAGTTTGTACAAGTTCCGTGTTGGATGTTTGTCATATTCTTCTGGGCGTAATTTTGTACGTCCATATATTGCCTGCCTTCTGTGATTCAGTGGCTCACATTCGCATAAAATGTGTAAAGCTGTTCCTATCCTTTCGTTGCATAATCTGCAGCTGAGGTTTCCGTTATACAGACCCATTTTATTCAGGTGTTAGCGGACATTGACCGGTTAGTAACCCTGTAATTATTCTGAGCCGATCTCTACCATATTGAAGTAGTTCTTCGGTTCTTTCCTCGGATGGTTCCCTAATGAAGGTTCTACTGTATTTTTTGCCAGGTACTTTTGTCCAGTACTATGTGGGCTTCTTATTGGTCCATGTCCTAATCTGTACCAATGATTTTAGTACCCCCAGAGCTGGTTCAGGACCTATATATGAAGTTGATGATCCGCGTCTAGCGCATTCATCAGATTTATCATTACCTGTGATTTCTGAATGCCTTGGCACCCAGTACGAAGTTCAATTAGTTCCTGTTTGCAAGTTCATTCAGTTCTTCATGGCATTCCCACACCAGTTTTGATGTCACCTTCGGGTTTGTCAGAGCCCCTAGTGCGCTTTTGCTGTCAGTAAAAATATTGATCCGCTCATTTCTTTGAGGTCTCAATTTACTAAGCCTTGCACACTGCAAGAAAGCATACACTTCCGCCTGAAAGACGGATGTGTATAGTCCTAGCGGATAGCTGTACTTTAAATTTCTATCCGCTCGGCATATTCCAGCTCCCGTTCCATGTTTGGTCTTCGATCCATCTGTGTACCAGGTGTTTTTTTCCAAACATGTTTTCGGGATGACTAATGGTCTTCCACTCTTCACGGCTTATGATTTTGGCCGTGAAGTTTGTGTTAAAGGTGTACTTCGGTCGTATCACTCTTACACACGTCACACCTAACTTGTGTTGGGTTTTCCACAAGGTTCCGCTCGGAGGTCTGGAAATGACCATAAGAAGCATGAGATTTTGACCCAGAAACGGCATTATACATTCACTTCGAAAGTTTAATATAAAACAGTCGATATCCTCACTGATTTTTTTCCAGTACCAACGGCATCCCATACTTCAGCGTCGTATTCAAGCAGTTGGACAATCTGATATCTGACGAGGTGATATCTTTCTTGAACCAAAACGAGCATCCGGACGCAGCTTATAACCGACTGATTTTTTCCGTCTATCTGGAAGTCAAAGACCTGGCTACTTTCAACCAGCATCTTCCGATGGGTGGCGATCACAAACTGCTTCTTCCGCGATGCCACGAATGGTTCGAACCATCGGTCAGTTGTTGGCTAAATGTTTGCAAGGGGAAGGCACTGCAAAGGGTGAGCATCAGAAAATATGTGCATTTTAGATACGATTTGAAAATCAAGTTTTAAATATGTTTTTGCGTTGACCAGCTATCGCACCCCTACGAACGAAAACCCTCAGAAGTCAAAACTTGTGCGAGCTAAGGACTAACGAGGTCTAAAACGTGTTTTGAAGGTTGGGCCTCTAAACAGAAGACAGACAAATTCATGAGAAGTATTTTCGGGATAAGGTAAATCTCGAAGGCCCGAGAGAAAGTAGAGAATATTAAATATTGGCTGTGTAAGAAAATTCATCAAAATGAATCTCCCGCACATAAATACGAAAAACCCATCAAATATGAGAAAATCTTCTATGAAGTGCTGCTTCTTAATTTTTGATAACCTGTTCGGTTTTCTCGTCATGTTCTTGTCTCCAGCAGAGAAAATTGATGATTACTTTTTTTATAATAGTTCCCAAGCAATAAATTTCCCGTTCGTAACTTTCTTTGATGGTAATTTACTGCGAAGTCGGCGCTTGATAAAGATTGATGATTATAGGAAACTTTGAAGAAATTTATTGAGAATATTAACATTTCCAGACTAAACTCATTACGGTGGGAAATCGTATTTCATACCTTTAAATTAAATGGGGCAGAGAAAAAGTAAAATGAAATGCAATTGGAAAATAGGAAGGAAATTAACAAATATTGCTGAAGATATTCCGTAATGGGTAATTTGATGAAAAACTTCATATAGATAAGAAAAAAATTCAATTTCAAATATAACAGACGCTTTGCGTTTGATCAAGTTCCGAAAAGCTGAAATTTCAAGCAGATTCAACCTTCCTAGTGCTATTCCTTCAAGAAATCAACACCTTCAGCGAATCGAAACTTGACCCTGGGTCCTACCCGGTAAGAACTCGTCATCAACTTCAGGTCTATCAAGTCAATTCCAGAAGCTTCATAGATTCATTCGGCAATGAAGTAATCAATATGTTCGCTTGTCTTCGCCCTGCCATTTTATTCCAGTAATTCCTCAGTTAAGGTCCCATGGTTCAAATATTTTCATCTTGTGCCTCTTCGGAATTTTATGGATGATTTTAGGTACAGTGGAAAGAGGATGATGATTTCCAGAAGTTCTAGCACCCAGATCAAGGTTAGGTACTCGATTTTTTTCTCTACCAGTTGTAACTTCTGACCATTTAGTGTTGCTTGTCTATTTGATGAAATATAAATCCTTGCACCACGAATATCTATTCTATTTCGAAACACCCCGAAGTCTTTATAGAACTGACGAGTTTTGAAAAGAGAGTATAATACTTTTATTTACTCTAGATAGCGTCTAAATGAGACCAGTTGATTTGGAGATCCTTTTTCAATACTCTTAATTGAATTCCTTCAAAAATTGGAAGTGAAACTGTGCCTTTGCCACCACATACTCAAGAGCTAGTCATTTTCACTTGGGCAATAGTACTATTTTTCCACCAAAACACGAAAATAGCTTACTTACTAGGAAGTTGGCGCCCAACGTGGGGCGCTGCAGTAGTTTCAGAGGAAATTTTATTTTGGTGATCGTTTCAAGTCAGTTTTTGTTCACAATCACGTCCAAGTATTGCACGTCTTCAGGAGATTGAGTTCAAAGTTGTACTACTTTGTACCTATTTGACCGTGAGTCTAGCTCTGCAGGTTGTAAGGAGCGTTCTTATGATTTTTGAAATCACCCCATCATGTTTCACCTTTGTAGTGACGACTGAATATGCTTCGAGAAAAGTTAGTATCTTTGCAACTATAATATTTCTTATTCCAGGTTCGAACGGCAGTGGACATCCAGAAACCTTGCGAAGGAGAAAAACTCGTCCGACACAGTTCATCTGCCGTGGACGTAGTCACAATGTTTTGTCAATTAAGAGACTTCTGGAGACTGCTGCAATGGCCTAAATCTCATTCCATACTATTACTGTCGCAGCTCTTGGACTGCATCTGTTCTGCAGCGCTGCTCTACGCAGACATCACATATCAGAGCCTCATGGAGACAGGCTACTTCGACAGGCTTGGCCCATTCAGGATAAGCGACGAGATGTGCATTGCTTCCAACAATTTAGAATATGTTTACAAATTCATTTCGCTTCTAGGTAGGAGCTCTCGTAGGTTATGAAAAAAACTGTGATTTGAAAGAACGGTAATATTTTATATTGTATAATGTATGAACGCCTGATTTTTGAAAAGTTAGGTTGCGAACCCATTAAAACTCGAACGAAACAATTCAGCAACTTATCATTGGAATCCTATTAGATTTTGCCAGAAGCTTGAAACTTCAGTTTTTGTTTGGCTTTTCTTGAAAGGAAGTCAGTAGATTCCATGTCAGTGCAGTCTTTTTTGGTAGTTTTGTACTAACTTGGACACCAGTCGATGAAAGCAAGTGCTTCCAAAGCCGCTTGGTTGTGAAAGAATGACATTTCCTCTTCCCGGTGGATTCAGGATAAGCGACGAGATGTGCATTGCTTCCAACAATTTAGAATATGTTTACAAATTCATTTCGCTTTTAGGTAGGAGCTCTCGTAGGTTATGAAAAAAAAACTGTGATTTAAAAGAATGGTATATTGTATATTGTATGAACGCCTGATTTTTGAAAAGTTAGGTTGTGAGTGGGTTTATTCGACCCTTCACTGCGAACCCATTAAAACTCGAACGAATCAGTTCAGCAACTTATCATTGAAATCCTGATAGATTTTGCCAGAAGCTTGCAGTCTTTTTTGGCAGTTTTGTACTAACTTGGACTCCAGTCGATGAAAGCAAGTGCTTCCAAAGCCGCTTGGTTGTAAAAGAATAACATTTCCTCTTCCCGGTGGATTCAACCCTCTCTGCTCAAGAAGAGGACCCTATTCTGACTCTCAGTAAATCTGTTTCGTGCAACTATCAGTATACACAATTCTGTATATCATTCATCTAGCCTCTCTCGTCAGGAAGCTGAGGAAAGGATGTAGGTTTAGAATGATTTTCAGGGCAGCTGATATAGTGTTGATGGAAATGGAGATAACCAGGTCTATTAAACTCTGTACACTTCATCTGACTCCTTTACGAAAAATTGAATCATGAGTTGAAAGAAGGCCTAGTAGATTGAAGCAGAGAACGTGAGCAACCATGGAGAATTAAGAGTTTATCTATTCAGGATTGGAAAGAGGCAGAGTTCGAACTGTGTATATTATATGAAGGAAATCGAAAGTAATACACGCTAGATGTGGTAATTTTTCTGAAACAGCTTGTTCTGAACAAACAACGGTAGCGCTCAACAGAGCAGGTTATTAAAGAAATCAGGACAAACCTTTAATCCAAAAAACATGATGAGAAGCCCAGTGAGAAGTGAGGAAATGTGAAAGGACACATATGCAGTCATGAGACAGGTTATAGCCACAATAAAGGAGGCTAATGAAAGAGGGGTTTTCCTTGGGTATGCAGGACTTGAACACACCAATCTGGGAGTGCCCGGACTGTCACACGAAGGGAGAACTTCGCGTGGTGCCCTTGAGGTTTTTCCTCTGAGCCAAACGCCAAACATCCTTGAAGCAATGTCTAACGACGGTACCAGGGACTAGCACAGGTGGCGACTGAGGAAAAAATAGTATCTGCCTCATGGGTCTCTGATCTGCTTCCACACAATAATTGAGGCAACACCTGTCAATTTCATATATACTCCCACAGAAACAGATGTGGAGGTGATTCCCATTCCCTCCATTTCTTGTGATCCTTCCGGCCAACATCAGTATGTTATCATTGATCTGAGAATCATCACATAAAGCCAATGGAATTGTTTTCCACAAATCCTTCCGACATGTCCATAGGAAAAGTCTGGCAAGTGAGAGTTCCAGGAGAGTTGTTATAACTGGATATTTCCCTTCTGTAGCAAATGAAATAACCTCGCCATTGAATAAAGGTGAAGTTGAATCATCCAGATTGCTCTTTTGAAAGTTTCTTTGATTTTGATTCATCAGTGTTTAGTTCCAGCTCAACTTTGGTTCTACAAGTATACTCTGTCCATAACATTATATTCCTCCATGCCTTAAAGTATACCTATATATTTCTCTCTTCTAGAAAACTACTTTGATTTCGTGACTTTGGAGTCTATCGCGTCGGAAATCCAATTTGCGACGTTAACGAACCAATTAGACAGCACTTTGAGCCAGCTACAGGTGAGGATACGCGACATACTGAAGAGAATCGGACCGCAGATGCAAGAGGCATTGAGGAAAGCAATGTTTCACGTAGCGTGGTCGCCAGACACGTTGCCGACAAATCAAGCGGTGGCGCCTCTTTTCGACTATTTGCATGGACATCTTCAAGCCCTCAACATAAATCTGCTACCTCAAAATTTCCAAAAAGTTCTTCAAGAGGTGAGATGGAAACTTCCAGATACTCCTTTTAGTTTTATTTTCCAGCCTGTCCAGTGAACGCCTGTATTTTTCCACCATTCCGTCAGAGTGTAGCAAATTTAAGAGTTTATGTTGTCTTACGTTTTCGCCTACACCTTTCTCTGCGTGGCAACTAGCTGAAAACCAAAACACAAACACATTGAATCATGAATGCGTTGTATTTGGACTCTCGGATCCTTACAAGGAAAGCTGCAAAGCCTTGTTTATCTTTGATATTAGGGACTAGGTTCTCCGTCGTGAGGAATAGGTTTTAATTTTTTATTGCTGTTAGAGTATCTCCGCTTGGAGCTTCATTCACGAGTTATACCAATAGTTCTCTTAGACGAGGGTTCTGTATCTGTATAGTAGGGAGGAAATGTAGGCCCACAGCACTTAGGCCACATGTGACCCGTTGTACATCCTCCCGAGGAGTTATCCTCTTAGATCATCGTCCATCCTGTCTTTTCCAGGAAGGTGGACAGGTTACTAGGAGACATCTCCTTTATATCAGCAGGTGTAGGCCAAGACTCGCCGAACACACACTCTCTTATTGCAATAACTCCGGACACTCGCATAGGACATGCCTGAAAGTTCCATCTCCCTGTTCACACATCCTTTATAGAAGTGTGCCCACTAGCCCCATATTATGAAGGTGTTTCCTCAGTTAACAGTGGCCAGTCAGAAATCCTACTGTTAAGCGTAGATTTTTTCTGGTCATCGCCAGATACTTCTTCGGCGCCAGCTTCCCAGGGACGCCCAAGATAATCCAGGTAAGATTACATCCTTCGATTCCATCCCATTTCTTTAGGAATTGATCATGGGTGTGACGTTTGCCTAATTCCGCAATTGTGGAAGTCATCAGGCCGTAGGTGCCACTAGGTCATAAAATTGTTAGTCCAGCCGCTTCCTCAGCTGAAGAGTCGGCAATGCGATTACCTTTACTCCTGTCGTGTCCTTCAACCCACCTCAGGATGATGTTATTATCTATCGAGGCCTTGGCTAAATCTTGGTGGCACTCTAGTACTAGCCCTGAGGTAACATATTTTCTGTTCAAGGCTAATAGAGCTTGTCTGCTATTAGTGCAGATGTTTTTGCCAGAAATTCCTTTCCTGGTTATTTCTTCTGTGGCGATTGAGATAGCAGCCAGTTCTGTTGGTATTTTTTCCCATTCCCCAATTAATCCTTAGGCTTAGTGATCTGGAGTACACTCCACATCCTGAGCCTTCTTTGGTTTTTGAGCCGTCTGTATATATGCGTATTGCATTTGTAGCATCTGACTCTGTGTTCTTTTCATTTGTATTTTGTAGGTTTCATTAAACACAAACCTGGGTTCAACTGCATCGCTTGTTGCCTGCAGCAGAGGTTGCGCAGTAAGCTCTCCATGTCACAGGCCCAGCCTCAATTGATCCATTCCTACTTCGAGGTTTACACCAGTCGTGCGCAATCGTACCATGGTCATTAACGCAACCTCCTTAACGCACAGGTCCAGAGGGGTCAGACCAGTTCTATTGCCGTGGTTGGTGTTGTTCTCATGACTGCTGTGATGTTCAAACAAGTCAATCGCTGTACTTGATATAATTTTTGGATGACGTTGCTTGTAGAACTTTTGGTCCCCATACAATGGCTCCGTACGTCTAATTATTGCAGTGTAGATCCAGGTGACCACACGGGGTGGAAGACCCCATGCGCGTCCCACTGTCCCCCGACATTGCTCATAAGTCACATATTATGCTCTTTTTGATCTACTCTGTAGGTGAGAGTTTCTTTTTAGCTTCCTGTCGAGGGTGGTACTAAGGTAATTCACCTCTTCGGAAAAGTTTAGTTTGCTTTTGAAAATTTCGGGAGGTTTTAAGCCCGATAAACTTCTTTTCCTGATGAAAAGGACCATCTCAGACGAAAGAAGGTTTCAGATACTATGTAGCGAAGCCACGTTGAAAGTAATCGAGTCTCAGGAACTTTACTGTCTGGGTAGGATTTTTCCTGTAGTGACGAGAGGTAATACTTCGAAACCGCGGTCTGCAGGTGATCTACTTAAATAATTTCGGCATGGTCCTGCTGCTAGATGAACATCTGCGAGACTAACCTCTATGAAATATCTTTCAGAAACCACGGTAAGTCCTTCCCCAACTGTTCTTATTGATTAATGGATTCATTATTGCAAAACTTTTGAAATATCCTGATGAAAAATTCAGACGAACCCAGTTTTTCCTGTATGAAAATATTGCGAATATTTTCACTTTGGAAATCTTTGTATCAATTCAACTAACCATTATACTCTTTGGCAATTTCTAGATAAAACCCAGGGTAGCTTTATTGAAGCTATTGTAACGTGACCCTATTGTAAAACGTTTGTAGAACTTTATGAGGAATAAACCGAACAAATTGGCAATATCACGAATTACGTCCGCAATAGAGCTTTCAATAAAAATAATTGAGGATAAATTACAGATTTAACGATTTCATAAACGCAATATTTGAATTACAACCCTTAAGATCCATCCATCTAGTAATCTTATACAGAAAGGTATGAATTGGAAAATTAATAGTACGGAATTAAATTTCGAAATATTCATGTCTCCCAATGCCTACACAGCAGATTCTGGTGAATACCTGCCGGAAAACAACTACTTTCCCGGCCAATACCACAATGATCATTGAATTATACCTTCCAAACATTTATGCAAGATACCTCAGAGAGACATCTTGCAGAAAAACGAAATCCCTCAGTTGTAAGAAGCCGAGCTGATTCTATTCACGTTTCAGATATGGGAATACACACTGGCCGAGCTGAACCACCAGATGGACAGCGGAGCCAACAGCGACGAAATTCCCCCCATGTTCCACGAGAAGCTCCACTCCGCCCTGGAGCTCATGGTGGAGTTCTTCCACGCGGACGGACAGGCTTTGACCATGCAAGTTCTGCACTCGCCCGCCTACAGACAAATAGAGCAAAGACTGCAATACCACAGGACCGATACCGAAACACTGATGGAGATCTTTTACGGACAACGGCTGCAGGACCAGCTCAACACATCTACCAGCCCGTATGGTGTGCTGGCCGTCAGGGCGTACTTCAACCACGATTCGCTTTGCGTCGAGGTAAGTTTGTTTTGTTGTGCCCGTATCATCATGAACGCTTTCTGAATGCTGCCACAGGTCCTGCATGCCCGCGACATCATCCCTCTGGACCCGAACGGCTTCAGCGACCCCTTCGTGATCATCGAGCTGCTGCCGCACCGTATATTCCCGCACTGCAATGACCAGCAGACGAACGTCCACAAAAAGACGCTCCACCCCATCTTCGACGAGTGCTTCGAGTTCAGCGTGTCGCTGGACCAATGTCGGTACCCCGGCACTATGATCGGCTTCACGGTCATGGACCACGACGTGCTCACGGCTAACGACTTTGCGGGTGAAGCCTTCCTCGCGCTAGGGAGCATTCCGGGTGTCGCGGACGCGGGGTCCGGCGTCGACAACTTCCATGGCCTCAAACCAGTAGAGCTCGTCCTCATGCAGCAGCACCAGAGGAGTAAGTGATCAGAACATCTGTGTCATACTAATTTTGCAGAATTATTGACCTTTGCCAGTGGAATGTTTTTCCTGAAATCGCCTGTTTTCTCTATGGTCAATTTGCCTTGGTCAGTAACGAGGAAAATTTCAAGTGTGTCCTCTGCGACTCTCTACATCCTTTTTCTCGACTCCTTATCGTAATGCTCTTTCTTCGGAGCAAAATGGTCGCATAGTTTACACAGTGCATCCACGTTATGGGTTTAGTCGACCCAAATTTGTGTCAGGACTTTTTTGATGGTGAAATGTCAGTCTGCTTTACTGCTACGAGTTTATTGCAGCATATCTTTGACGTAAGCTCTGGGTATATTAGATTAGATTGTTGGGGAGCTAGCCCATGGCCTGATTCACTGCGACCTTATCAGATCTATTGTGGTGATCCTTGGTTGTTAGAGCTCATTGTCTAGCTTGACCTCTTTGATGAGACTCCATAGCCTTGAAACTGACCCCTTCATATAGCTGGAAGCTTCTGATTTTTCTTCCCCACATCTTGCGTGTTTCAGCCTTGCTATCTCTTCGCATTCACAGAGTACATGCATTGCGGTTTCTTCCTTTTCTTGACAGAACCTGCATTGGGTTTCTTCTGTCAGACCCATGTTGCCATGTATACCAAGTTCCTTCAACTTTTACCGGTGGGCCGTTTTGCCAGTCCTCTCTACTTGGTATGATGAATTTGAAATCTCATTGAAGGTTGTACTAAGAAACTGTGTTATCCACGGGCATTCCTAGTATTGGATCTGCCTTCAGTTCACTGTACAGTTTCAAGTATTCTGCACCGTGTGACTGGCTCATTGGGGTTTGTCCCTGCATTAGCCTGTGTATCACCAGTCGAGCTTCTCTTTGTATGTAGATGTGCAATGGTGGAAGTCCGAGTAGGACCTTAAGTGCTGCAGTTGTAGTCGTTCTCATGTCTCCCGCGACACTTACGCACGCCAGCCTTTGTATGTCGCCTAATAGCCTAGTCGTACCCGATTGCTTTGTCCTTGTCCACCGAGTCACAACTACGCTCTGGGTAGGACAATGTCATTGTCTCATCCAGACTCTTCTATTTGCAATATAACCAGGTCATCCCGCAGATATAGGGAATCCTTAAGAACCCAGGAAGCCTCAACAATCGCTCCATGCTTGGAGAATACTTGCTTTCGATTGAGTCAAACGCTGTTGGTGAGCCAGTTCAGAAAAAAAGGTAGTTCATTGTTTTCTCCAGCTCATTCTCTCATCCATCTTCTAATAGATCAGTCCCTCCTAATATAGTCTGTTGGGGTACGTATCAGCTCTTTGCAATGCGATCCTTTCTGAACGATAACTTTTCTGTTTTCCAGTCGATGATATTGCTGTATTGCTCTTTGGAATATCTGGAGGTCATACTGCTGAAGTACCTCTAGCCACCTTCCAACCTGAACGTTCAGATTTTTTAAGTACATCATCCACCAAAGAGTGCTGCGATCAATTATTATAGTCAAACAAGGTCCCAGTAGATATGTGTGAGAGTGTTCGGGGGTTTTACAATGGCTGAAAGATTATTCCTGATGTCTCACTGATCACACTCGGCTTCACTCAAGGTTTCATTGACATGAACAATGACATTTTCAGAATGAGCACTGTTGTCATTCCCTTTTTAGTTTACTGAAATACTGCTGGCTAGGTCAGGTCCAAAGTGAGTGGGTCTATTCGACCCTCCACCGCAACCCGGAAGGGTTTATTGTGGCTCACACCTATTCACACTCGACCAAATAAACCCAGCTTCTTAACGAAGCCGATTAGTTTGTATGGTGAGTAGTCTTGACAGATTTTGCGTACGCCGCTCCAGAATTTAGTACAAGGCGGTTTTTTAAGGTACTCAGCTCTTGAGGAGACGACTCAGTCGTTTCCTGGCTGCACCACCAAACCTTTTTTTCAGGTTCAGTTACTGGATCAAGAGTTGGGGAGTTGAGAAGCTCTGGCTCCTAAAATAAGTTTGCAGGGAGGTCAATTGGACTCGCTCCTGAAATAAATTCACAGGGAGGTCAGTTGGAGTCTGACGCTGAGTCCTCTATAGACTCATTTGTATAGGTTAATACTTCGCCACCTTGGTTTTCTCTGATTCGGTCTTTATTCCACCCTGCGAAGCAAGACTAAAGACGTTTCTTTAGAAGAAGGACACTCTTCAAGATTCAGCTACAACTTGATCTTGCATCGTCTACAGCCTACTTGATCAAAGTGTGCGTTTCAAAGTCTACATAAAAGCTCTGTATTTCAAAGATGACTAGCAAACATCAAGTCTGCCACATTTTTGGAAAGGTAGTTCAAAGCTCTATTGAAATTTGTAGGAATATACAAGGTGTCTCATTAAAAACAGTGTTTCATCAATAACTATTTTTGACAGAAAAAAACCAAAACAAAAACAAATCAAGTTGAAAAAAAGGGGTTCCCCTCAAAAAGGGCCAAATTGGCCCAACATCGTCAAAAAAACAAAAAAACAATAAAAAAAAATAAGAAAAAAAAAAAAAAAAACGAAAACAAAAAGAAAACCTCAAAAAAACCTAAGGAATGAATGAAAAAAAAACCGGCAAAATTTGGTTTTTTTTTACGCAGATCATCCCATACTGCAAATACTGGAATCCAGGGTGGGTGATCGTGTGGCTGCGGACTTCGTTAAAAAGCAGAAGCAGAGATTGGCCAACAAATAACTGGAAATCAAATACTTTTCTTCAGACGTAACGTTTTTATATGTGATGACTGTCAAAGGCAAACTTACAACATTCTACAATTTCCCAGCACTGATCCTCTGTATATATAAGTGTAGCGTGTAATAAATTAGGATAAGTACCTACATGTTATTTTGCTATTTGGAAAATGATACTTCACTTTTTGGAGAATGATCAGAAATAGCTGCTGTAGTGACAAGCTGAAGCAAAATTGTACATAAAGATGAAAAAACAGTTACAATTACTGGAAGACTGCAAATACACGTGTCTTAATGATTGTGAATCCTTTACTTATATAGGATGTAACAGAGGTATATCACAAGAGTCTTTGATTTTCGAGGAAAGCTCCAATTTTCATGACGTTTTCCATAAACCATCGAAAGAGCTAACAACGAAGTATCATTTCCTAATAACTTAAACAAAAAATTACCGTTTGAATGTATATATGTAAAATATACACACATCGTACTAACTTTGCTTATCATCACATCGAGAAAGCGTTTCTTGATAATTCGTTTCAAATGCTCCTACTTTTCAAAGCGTCAATTCGCTTCTTCTGTAAGTTCCGTCAAAACGCAAGGTCCGAGGTGAGGTTACACCAAAGTTGGAGGGTGTGTTGTGTCAAAGAACTCCACGTTTGTTCTCCGAAACTGACAAATTTTCTCTCTTCCTCTACGATGAAAATAACATAAGAGTTGGTCCCAGAAGTAACAGACCCAACAGAGAAAACACAAATTGCTTTAATTGAATTTTTCACTTTTTAGTGTCTTTCATTATTAATAACATTTGGTCGACCACTGCAATACTCGTTTTGGCAGCTTGCTACCAAATATTTCACTGCTGTCAACGAAGGAGCAGCCTTACCCAGAGTAGAATCTAGTCTAGCTTCCATATTGGTTGAGCTGAGGCCTCTCAAATGATCCATCTTCTCCATTTTCACAAATTCACCGAAAACATTCACTATTGATGGCCGCCAAACAAATACTAAACAACGCAGCGTCTTCAAACTTGAAACATATTCTTTATAGATCGTGTACTTTTCAATACAGTGATATTTTCCAAAAAACTACCGCCATCTCTAGGTCAGGCCGGATATTTCTGGGACCACCCGTAAATGTTAGCGAACCCTAAAAATTAATCCGGGGAAGAAACGACGATGGCTTTCAACAAATGTGGGTTCCTTGCAAGCATGATTTTCATTGATTTGTCATTGTATTAAATGTAAACTTCTAGAGAGCTTACGAAAAATTCCTACTTTTCTAACACTGAAAAAATCTGTTTAATAAATATATTCAAAAATGAAAATCCTGTGAACCCTTGTCTCAGTATTGCTGCACTGCTAAAATTGAATCAATGATTAGGTTTTCTCTATGACGTTCTTCCTCTTTTTTATATTTTTATAAGTAGATACTGTAAGTGCTCCATTTCCAAATACACTTACCCTTCCACTATTTAACATAAAACGCTGAATTTATTTTTTTGAAGTGCCTGTATGTAAATTTCCATATCAAAACAATATATATTTCAGGAGTGAGTTGTAGTAAGTTAGACTCCAGTGTGTGAATCCATCCAGTAATATAAAATTCAACAAGAAAAATAGTAACTCACCCTTCTCCTGTTCACAGTCTGTTGAATGGAACTGATAACATCATAGTTTTCCACTGTATTCAGGTTGAAAAGATGAACTGATAAAAATTCAACTCTCAATATTACTCCTTTTTCTACAGGAGAAGAAAAACTTGGTCGTGGTCTGCCGGTTCTTATGCTTGACGTTTCATCTACTACTGCGGTGCACATTCTCTCAATGAGGTATCGGCCAAAGTTCTCGAGTCGTTCTCATCAACGCTGGAACTAGAATGCTGAAATTTGCCTCCTGTTTTATATTGTCATTGTCTTACTAGACCTAGTTTATATGCAGTCAAGGACAGGTAGCCAGATTTAATTAATGCTCATTACCTCTTTCTTTCTATTGAAATTATAATAATACATATTTATTTGTAGTTCCTTATTACATATAAAGACAATAAGTACTCAATCTATGAAACTGATAAAAAAACTACAAATGAGGCTGGAAACGACATGTACCGGAAGGGTACTGTTGATCTCATTTCTAGCCTTGAAGAAAAGGAAACTGAACTGAAGAAAAAACATGAAGAAGAAGAGAAAAAAAAAAGGAGAGGGACGAAGGAGAGAAAACATGTTGAATGTTCATACTGAAAATTTTTCAGAAGTACAAAACCTGTGAAATCAATGAGTTTCTGATTGAGCAGTAATGAGATATTTTTTGACATACTTCAACGGAAAAATGCTACCCCTACCTTCAACCCCCGTCAAATGACAGGCACAACCCCCAAATTTTCAAATAGGAAGTATGGGCTTGTGATATATCGTTTGAAACGTATCTTCATTCTCTATTCAAAAATGTTATCAATTTCAAGTTTATCGCAACAATTAAGATTAAATAGATTGAAATCATGTGATTACCGAAATTCGATAAAATACACTCAAAACTTATTGCAATATACTCAAAACTTATTTCATGTTGAGGTATTGATAATGAGGAACTAAACAAAAACCATAGCAATGTTCTTTTCGAATTGTATCCTTTAAAAAACTGTAAATGATTTCTCAAGGAACAAGAAGCAAAATAGAGAAGCAGTTTCGCGAGCTTGGTCATGTGTGGCAGATAAAAAAGCAGCTGTCAATAATGAGTGATGAACTCAAATTAGATGTGTACAGGTATCTACTACTTTTGACGTGTTTTGGGATTTTTTTCAAATATGTACAGTAACTGAAATAATGAATTTATTCCATTAGGCTTTTACACATTATATGTTATAACTTGAGGACCGTCGATATAGAGTGGTTCGATGGAGCGGAGGGGAAATTATTAACCCTTTAAACCTCAAATTTAAAGTATGTCCATCACCACGAAATCTTATTTTGTTATACAAATATAATAGACACTTGTTAATTAATATTCAATGGAAGAGGGTAGCCGAGTATAAAACACGTCTATTTTTTATAGTTAACCAGTTGGTTTCCTCAAGTTTATATGAAATTCTGTCATATTTACCTAAGACATGATTTTGGACTCTTTCAATTCTACAAATGTCTTTTTTATCCAGGCATGAAGTGTATACAACATCATAATATGCAAAATGACTCAAGACAAGTGCATTTGTTAATTTTATTCTCAAACTAATAAATAAATGATGATGATAAAGTATTTTCAAACTCATATAACTTTTTTGAACACATTTTGTGACAGGTTTTGTAAACCTTAAATTTACGACCATTTCGATACATAACAATATTAATATATCTTTCCACCAAGCTATAATTAGTACCAAAAACATGCAAAATATTTTTGTTTGAATTGATTTCGAGGTTATGAGCCTCCGATGCTGAAATAAGCCGAGCTAGATCTTCATTCAATTTTCGATTAGCAGTAGCAAAGTCATTAAGGTTAAATGATAGATATAGTTGTCTGTCATCCGCATACATGTGAATTACAATCTCTTAAAACAGAAACTAGATCACAAGTGTATACGCAAAATAATAAGGGTCCAGTATTGATTTCTGAGGCACTCCAAATTTAATGAACTCACTGCTTGATTTTCTCTACGAAGTTTCTACAAACTGTGAACGATCTTTGAAATAGTTTTTACTAAATTTATAGCAGATTCAGAGAACCCAACGAAGTTCAAAATAGCAAATCAAATTGGATAACTAATGGTATCAAAAGCCTTGGGGAAGTTTATAAGTATTAAAGCAGTAGTGTTACCTATGGCGTCTCTATATACTCTTGCATACAATTTTGAGTTTTATCGAGTAGTATTGTATTTTCGAATGCGATAAATTGAGTGCCTTCTTTGTGAGCATTTTTGGCTACAGCTGACTTGTGGATATGTCCGAGGCGAAAATTTATCTTGCGTTCAGATAGGCAGGTGTCCATAGAGAAATTTCTACTTGATAAAACTCGGAATTACCATCCAAGAATATATTAAGAAGCAATAGAAAGGAAGAGGCAATGAACATCAATAAAATCTGCCTACCTGCCCTAAATTGTACACAAACAAGGTCAGGTGATCCAATTACGAGAAACGAAGCAACGATATAAAACTTGAGACAAATCTCAGCATTCGATGATGTCTACCGCGGTAGTAGACGAAACTTCGGGCGTAAAAATCTGCAGACCAAGGACAAAAACCCGGAAAATGCTTCGACACAGTTTTCGAATGATGGAAATTGAATTTATTACGGCAAATAAATCAAATTTTTCAAGAACTGATTATTTTACAGTGTTATCCATCACCCGACAGCACTGTTTCGAGCCTCCACCGGTCTCATCAGTAGTGATAAACCATAATGTAGCTCCTTACGACTGCGCCATCTATAAGGCGCCTCGCTCATCATTGATATTCATGGATTGAGTCTGGTGTCGATACATAGATGGTGTTTTCTTTGGGGAAGGGTAAAAATGTTGCCCTAGCATAATTTTGAAAAGTTATTACCTATACAGGAGTGCGCTAAAGTCCGGAATGAAATTAATATCTTTTTAACCAGTATTTTAAGAAAAAAAACGCTGAAACACGTCAGTTGATTTCACGTTGTATGCATTTTTTGGTACCTAATAAAATGATTTTTTTTTCAACCTTGTAGCTGCAACCCTCCCCAACTTTTATTTTTCGAATGCAAACCTATGTCGTGTAGGGACTCATTGAAAAGCTCGTAAAGAATGGATTCTGACCATATCCTTATTTTTTTTTTGTGGTTACAATGAAATGAGAAAAAACTCTTTTGAAAAGTTACAAATACCTAACTAAGTTCTATCTACGAGTGAATTAACGTAACAGATGCTGAAATTGGTCTCCACCCTCTACTTGGCAGGCTCCTAGGCGATGGTAAAACCCATCTACGGAATTCCGAATGGCCTCAGCCGGTATGGTATGAGATTCCACTCTAATTCAGCTTTTTAGATCTTCAATATTAGCCGGCCTATTTTGATAAACCTTGTCTTTCATATATCCCCAATAAAAATAATGTAATAGCGTTAAGTCTGGGGATTTTGGCGTCCAATTCAGCGTCCTGCAAATATGTCATCGAGATATTCTCTGACATTAATACCAAAATGTGGGGGAGCGTCGTCCTGTTGGAACCAAAGTGTTTCAGTGGGGATATCTGGATCTGCTTCACTGGGAAACAAAACAAATAAAGCAGGGACTAATTCAAAGCGTAAAAAGTCTGAGTAGCGTGCAGCTGTAAGGTTTCCCTCAAAAAAGTATGGCCCTAATATTATGACATATTTGCAGGACGCTGGATTGGACGACGTGGTACAATTGAATGGCCGCCAAGATCCCCAGACTTAACGCCATTATATTATTTTTATTGGGGATATATGAAAGACAAGGTTTATCAAAATAGGCCGGCTGATATTGAAGATCTAAAAAGCAGAATTAGAGTGGAATCACATAACGTACCGGCTGAGGCCATTCGGAATTCCGTAGACGGGTTTTACCATCGCCTAGGAGCCTGCAAAGTAGAGGATGGATGCCAATTTCAGCATCTGTCACGTTAATTCACCCGTAGATAGCACTAAGATAGGTATTTGTAACTCTCCAAAAGAGTTTTTTTTTTCATTTCGTTGTATGGTCAGAATCCATTTTTTACGAGCTTTTCAATGAGCCCATATGAAAAATAAACGTTGGGGAGGGTTGCAGCTAAGGGGTTGCAAAAATATTTTATTTTATTGCCAAAAAATGCATACAACGTGAAATCAACTGACGTGTTTCAGCGTTTTTTTCCTAAAGTACTGGTTAAAAAGATATTAATTTTATTCCGGACTTTCGCGCACCCCTGTATAACCGTGTTATCAGTTTCATGCAATATGGCTGTTCAAAATAAATCTAATAACTGTACTATTGACAGGGTTAGAAACTGAAAGCATGAATGTTTGACAATCTCTAATGCACAGTATTTTCTAATAGTAGCACATTACAATAGCACATAAAATATTTACCATCTTCAACTATCTATTTTAAGCCTAGATATTTTATGTAAAAATTTTGAACAAATATATTTTGTATCCATTATATTCCACTGAACTGAACGTAAAGTAACTGACATTTGATGAACAAAATACGATTCGATAAGTGTGTTTTCTCTCCTGTCATGTTGACTGTGTCACAAACATTTTCAAAAAATCAAATTTGAATACCAAATCGAAAGGAAAATGATTCGTATTGTAACAAATTAAGAATTTCCACTATTTCAATTTCTTGTTTAACCGCTCGATTCACTTTCTGAACTCCACTGCCCTCTTGGGACGAGAAGCCGGCCTTATATGTCGGTAACGATCGTTCTGTAGTCTGTTTCGTTTCGTTTCTGCTTCGTTTCTGTAGTCGTTTCGGTAGCCAACTAGAGTTCAACCGGCGGTTGCCGACTGCATTCTTTTTGCGGTGATGTCATGTGTTTGTTCGGTGGCCGACATATCGGCCAGGGTCGTCTTCAGATCCGTTACAGTATACACAATTGAATATTTCATGTTCAGGTGTACGGTATTTCAATTTTGATTTTCCTAAAGGTGCAAGTTAACAAAAAATCTCCGGCCTGAGAAAGAAAACGGGCTTTTTTTGTTCAGAATTGGCTTTATTACTCAACGTAGTCCCCGCTGTGACATTGCAATACCACTTTTGTAGGGAATTTTATCTTTTGCCTCAAAACAGGCCTCAGTTTCAGCGTTCAAAACGCTCCAAAAACGCTACATAATATTTACTTTTGATGGTATTTTCCTTCTCAAGATAGTCGATGAATATTACACCACGTACATCCCAAAATATCGAGGCCATAACCTCTCCAGCCGATTGTTGTGCTGTGCTGTAGTATAACGATAAAATATGTATTTTTTTCTCTATTCTATTGTATTTTTTCTATTACCTTTCACCAAATTAGTTTTGGAAAACTATGCTTGCATACTCGTAACTGACACAATAATTTGGATTTCTGTCATTTAAAAGAAATGTCGATTTTTGTACTTAATTTTTCAAATTGGCTTTGTATTTGTATTCCAAAATATTCCAAAATGGAGAAATTTTGCCATTTTTTTCGATTGAAAAGTTCAAAATTAATTATTGGCCCTTCAAAAAACCAAAAAAATGGATCAGAAATAACTTGATATATTTCTGTAGATCACCGAGAGGCGAACAGAAACACATCTAACAAAGCAACGTGTATATTCAAGCTGAATTTTTCATATTTCTTTCGATTTGAATATTTCAAGTTAAACAGCTTTGCACAAAAATTGAAATACTAACCTCGTTTGCTTTCACTCATGGATAATGAAACATATCAGGAAAGAGCAAAATCAAAAAATGTATTGAAGAAAATCTCACAAAATACTTAAAGGCTGAAATTTTGTGAATAACCAAGCTGATTTTTTATAATGTGAACGAATAGACCGGGAGATGGTGGAGTTTCTTACTGGTGGTGGGCCGGTCTTTTTTTCCTTAAAATACTGATAAATCGAAGAAATTTTGTGAGAAAAAATGGAGATTTTCGAGCAATTCAATTTAATTATTCTGCAATTGCGTCCCGCCCGATAAGAACATCATTTTTCTTCCATTTATCACCCATTTATTACCTATCTATTACCTCTCTAAAAGCGCATTACTGTAAGAAATGACTTACCGAAATCTTCCACCATCTTCCGGTCTACTAACTTACTAAGCACTGTGAAACAGGTCAGCGAGATAACTAATGTCTGTTCATAGAAAAGCGAAATGAGTTTTCCTCTATTGTGACAAATAATAATATTTGTGGATTTCAATTTCCGAATCAGGTGGCATTCACATCTAGATCTGCTTCATTCCTCACCTGTTATTCTCAAGCTTTATAAATATGTGATACTACTCCGGAGCGATAAAATGGAGCCTCTCGCTGCAGTTCTTTTTGATTTCCACTTTCCTATCGAGCTTATTGTACTGTATGTCAATTCGAATGAAAACCATGATTTCCATATATAAATGGATGTGATAAACCTCATTGTCTTTGTTTACCCTGCAATAAAACATGATACCATCTAGTGGCTTATTATTTCACACTTCTGCAATAACCCGTACGTATTTTTACGTTGATCACCTCCTTCAAACCGATAAAATGATGGAAACATCTACAACAGAATTTTACAGAGATGAAACGCTTTTTTCCCAGCCGCGATAAAATTGACATGGTGTTCCCCAAGTATCAGTATTGGGACCACTTCTATTCATAATTTACGTGAATGACATTAGTGATTTCATGCACCTATATAAATCTGTTTTGTTTGTCAATGACACTACATTCATTTACTCTGACAAAAATTCTATTGAACTATCTAGAATATCAAAGGAAGTCGATGAGAAGGTAGAAAGTTGGTTCGTGTCAAATCGACTCAAACTGAATACATATAAAACGCAACAGTTACAGTTTTTGTACAACGTTCTCGTAGAAATTCATAAATAATCAACTTCATTATTCAAGCAATCAGACCTTCAGGACTATGATACCAGACATTATAACAAATTTTGGACAAACCGCTATCGTTTGACTAAATCACAAAAAAACACACTGAATTTCAACCTCTACAACTATCTCCCCGATAGTTTCAAAATTCTTAGGATGTCCAAATTAAAAAAAAAAACAATACAAAATTATCTTTTGAGTTTTGCTTCTACTCTGTCGAAGAATGCGTAAGTCATTTTAAAGGTTTATAATGCCAACATACATACTCAGTTTTTGTTTTTATATTTTTGTATTTGTGATTATCGTTTGTTTTTATAATATTTTGATTGTTTAACAAATTACTTTTATGCTATTTTTTGACATTATGTAACGTGGTGAAATAAATTATCTATCTATCTATATATCTATCTTTATATCTATATATACACACATATATACACAAAACTCATATATGCACACAACGCGTATATATACACACAACGCTTATATATACATACGAGTGTATATACATGCAACGCGTATATATACATATAATGTGACGCGTATATGTAAGCTCTGTTACGCCAGCAACGCAAAGTACGGAAATCGCATTTAGAAAATGCCAAAATTAGGTACTTTTTAGGTACCGAAGTCAAAAATTAGGTGCTCTGTAACTTACACCGCAACTCAATACTCAAAGTTGCGTTGCTAGCATTATATTTTTCCGTTAACCAGCTATCGCACCCCTACGAACGATAACCCTCAGAAATCGAAACTAGTGCGAGCTAAGAACTAACGAGGCCTTACCTTTTAATGTGTGATTCCTAACACGGGTTGGACGATAGCAAGTGAAAATTGACCGTTCGGCCTGGGGCTTGAACCATCGACTCACACATCGGCCGATTGACTGAGTGAACAAAGCATCCACGTAATCTTAATTTGTTGCAAGCACCTGATTAGCACTTTATTACCACGCTTAGTTTATACCTGATAGAACATTCGTCCTCGTTTTCGAGAGATCTGATTCTTAGATCTGTTGTTTAGTGAAATTGGAAGCTTTTGTTTATTAATCAAAAAATTTTACGATCCTCACCGTTTAGCACTTAATTAGCACCTAATAAGCCTAAAAAGCACCTAAAAAGTACCTTAGTTTGGCATTTTCTAAATACGATTTCCGTACTTTGCGTTGCTGGCGTAACAGAGCTGTAAATGTACACAACGTGTATATGTACACAGCGCGTATATGTAAACAACGCGTATATACAAAACGGGTATATACACAACGCATATATACACGACTCATATATACACACATCAAAAACCGCATGGGAGCTGACGCCCAGTTCTTATGCTTTGACACTGAAATCTGCGGAAGAAAATCTCGCAAAGCAAAGCGAAAATCGCTTAACGCGACATCATATAGTAATAAGCTGAAAAGCGGCAAAAAACTAATATTTGGAAAAAATGATTAGTATCAATATACATAGTACAAAATTTTATATCGAGCAGTGTACACCACGACATAGTAGAATAAATATTTAAAGAGATATAGAACTACTAAAACACATGACGTTAAAAAGGACAAAACTTTTGCAACAACTTACTACTGTCGCTAAATAAATACTATGCACAAATATTGCATATTCTTTGGAACATTCAATTCATCATTTTTATTTATTCAGAAGCAATACATTTCAACATGCTGTCTTATAGACGTGATAATTGATAATGCAGACAACGTTCAGTGTGAAAATTATCATACGTACATATTAAAAGACGATAAACTCAATGTCTCGAACCAGAATAACGAGTATGTGCCAAAAAAACTATTCTGCACTTATTTAATAAATTCAATCTGGTTGAATCATCAATAATTCTATAATAATACTAAAAACAATAAGGAGCGAATTCCACTGATGAATACAACGAGAGTATACAGGGTACGGCGCAATGACGGTTGGTTAGTCGTATTTTGGAAAATAATAGGATTCATGCCTGAAAATTGTCAAATATAAGTTTTTTATTATGCTTCATCGAATGAGAATTATGGCTATTTGATTGATATCAAGCATGGGAAAAGTTTTCGAAAAACCCTTACAGAAGAGGTTTCTCTCATTTCTGGAAAGTTATAATATTTTATCGAGTAAACAAATTGGTTTTCGTATTTTTTCATTTCAATATTAAGGTCAAAATGTCCATCGGGCAAAACTCATCTCTGTAACTGATTACTTCCAAAATGATTCACAAAATTCTGGCTATTCAGTAATCAAATTCAGAAGTCGGGGACATCGGGGTTCCCCTCACATTTGGCTTGGACACAGCGGAACAAAGAAATAAGGTTATCCCAAGAAATTATCTTATGACGTCTGCTTCACTTTGCATTTATAAAGATTGGGAGAAGCTTGAATTTTAATAGTGTGCCTTGAACACGACAAGTGATAACGTCGATATTATTATGTTGAACGTTGTGTTATCATTAGTATTATGGGTAGCAGTTACGACTTCGTCAGGTGAGTTTGTGACCTTATCTTTCATGTAATACAAAAATTATAATAGATTTACTCGAAAGATAGGCACAATGCGTACGGCAGCTCTTCGTCGGTATGCACTGTGAGTTTCGTTCTAAAAAATTTCCAGTATCCTGAAATTTCAGCAAGTAAATATTTTGTTTTATAGAGATCTGAGTTGGGCGCCACACAGCCAATAAAATGAATGACTGGTCGACTGTGAAACCAAATCTAATCAAATTTAGTTCTTTAAGCCACGGCAATGGAATGAATGTATAAAAAAATCAGATATTCTGAAGATACTTGATGTTCGCAAAATACTGGCTGGTAAATTGAATAAGGGTAGAAATCAAAATCTGAAAGTGCTCCAAATTTGTTGTTTAATCATGTGTAAAACAAATTGTAATAACTCAACAATGATCGTAGGTAAAAGTATGCCTTCAATTACCTAAGGGTAGTCCAGGTAAAAATATCAGGAAAAGTATTACTAACAAGATTCATGTCATGGCGTCTGACGCCTATCAGAAAACAACTACTCCCCTGGCTAATACCACGAAGGGCGTTGGATTACATCCCACAAGCGTCACATCCCACAGTGGCACACTTGCAGACCGGTTTCGGGCTCATTAGCCACTCATCAGTGCAAGATAGTGGCCTTCATCAACCTAAAGTCAATGATATTCCATAATTGAAAATCGGAATCCTTTCAGAGTATTTCATTCCTCTTCCTAAGTTGGAGCGAACAACACAATGTCACTCCATCTAGGGGACGAGTTACTAACCAACTGCATATCCGAAATTTGCCCGATTCCTCTGAATAAGGAAGAACAACTTTCTTATTAGTCAGTAGGCTATGTTTGAAGACTGGCAAAAAACAAATCTAAAGATATGAACTTGAAACGTTCCAAAATTGAAGGTCGACTCTTTCAGTTGTATTGCCAATTGCATATGCAGGAAAATTTCTGTGAAGATTCCTGCACTGACGCCTGTCGGATATAATCCAACGCCCTTCGTGGTATTAGCCAGGAGAGTAGTTGTTTTCTGATAGGCGTCAGTCTATTCAACCTACCGTGTAGGTATATTCGAGACTGGCTTGAATGTTCAACAATAATAGAAGGTAAAGAAAAATTGAAACGAAGATTGTCAGTTCTAACTTCCGTGACCAATCTACAAAACTTGAGTTTTTCACAAGGAAAAACTAATTATATTAAGATGAAGGATTTATCCGTCTAATTCGACGTATAATTTATATACCCTCGAGTATGCATACTATCGGTTTACAGTTGTTTAAAGGTAGCAAAGGTTTTGAAATTTCAATTACAACACACTAAACTAAGTAAAAGTACTTTATAGCTAGGTGAAGTGGGTACAGTTTTGGTAGTGCTATTCCTGTGATAATGCGTTGAACGATAAAAAGGAACAATATTATCTTCTTTGAGGCATGAGGCTACGATCATCCGGTTTTATGTCGCTACCAACAGTGGTGAGTCTCTAGGAGTCCAAGAAGTAGAGATTCGCCAACCGCTTTTCTCAAAGTTGGGGAGATTTTTAGGGCGTTATCAGTTAGCAACGAACATGCAAATGGAAAATGAAGGTCTAAAGGTTCATACATGTCTGAACATAATTTCTTGCAAGCAAGAAGGTCGTAGGTATCAATAAAACACAAAATGTTTGTTCATACCTGAAATGGAATGTGGCCTTTTGAGATGTCCGAGTTCTTCGACAAGGTAAACTTCAATAAATCCTACGACAGTAGATATCTCCCTTGAAATAAATCAGGAATACTTTGAAACTTTTTTTTAAAATCCGCAAAATTGCGATGTTCTTCCCGTGTCTGGTCCAAACCCAAGAAAAGAAGGAAGAGACGTTTTCACATATAGTCAGTGGGCATATTTGAAGACTGGCTATAAATCAAATCATCTAAGAACAATTCGTTCAGGCCAGACTGTCTAGGGAGTTGAAACTGGCCTGAACGAATTGTTCTTAGATAATTTGAGAAACGTTTTCTTTCTGCAGTTTCGAAATGACGAACTAACATGAACTGAAGACAGATGAATTATTTAGAAAAAAAAACTATATCTTATAAAAAAACTTTGTGAATCTGCCGATTCCAGCAAAGATACGAAGACTCGTTTTATATTCCTGGCATATACAGGGTCATAATAAATCGTAATACGAAATGAATTGTTTGTGTTATATCTTAAGTAAACTATGAACTGTGTGGAATTTTATAGACTTCCCCAATCTCCATTATAAAATCTACTGGGGGTTTAATAAAAATTGAGGTAGTGATTTTGAAACCGTAACACCTAATTTTGTAAAAATGGAATTTGTAGACTTTCAAAATCTGAAAAACACTAGAAGCTGACACAACAGACGCCCCAGCTATTATTGTCGATTATTCATACTTCAGCTTTAGCACATTCATTATTTCGATAATACCTTTCTTCGGTAAATAAACCATGTTGGAACACAGTGGACAAGGATGACTGAATAATAATTCGTGAAGAAGTGACAGTGGCCAATTATCTCTTTTTTTCCGCGACAAGTGGATTCAACAAAAACTACCAGTGCAGAAAAAACTAACTGTGTCGTCTATTTCAAAACGTTTACCGCCAATTAAATAAATTCTATAAATCTAGAAGACCTGCGACAGAGAATTGTTCGGGAATGCCGATTTCTGACTCCGGACATCTTCAATAATGTAAGGAACGCTTTCGAAAGTAGTCTCTTGTATTATTGCATGGAACTACATGGAGGTCATTTTGAACACTCTATCCGTTAATTGTGTTGCCATTGATATTACTTTTGTTGATTTCCTTTTGTTGAGCGACAGCGAATTTTCTGTTTTTTCACTCGAGGCAGAAATCGTTATTTTCATACTACAAAAACAATATTTTTCAAGGCGGTTCAACGCTACTGGAAAATCCAATTTTCCTAGTTGTTTACAATAGCTTTTCTAATTCCCATTTACAGAGAGCAGAGAATGTGACAACCTCGGCGTACTGGTTTATGAAGACATGAATTGTAAGCCTGTGCATAATGGAGCAAACAAGTGCCCTTCCAAGTATGAGTGTCCGCAATTGACGAATCCATCTGAAGATTTATGCTACTTCAGAAGTAAAACCTACCGTGAGGGAGATTTCATTCATTCCAATGATACTTATTGTCAAATAGGTTGCAGTTGTCAAGGACCAAAGAGTTCGTAAGTTAGGCATTAAGGGATTTCCAAAAGAATACTGTATTGATTTTTTTTAATGATAACTTCTTATGGGAGAGTAAACCACTTGGTAACGTAACGCATAACGGTGCTAGTATGTCTGAATTATTATATTTGAACATAACACTCAAGAAACCATGGCAAACCATGCCGAGTTTCCGGCTTTTGGACGATCGCGTCTATGGTTTGAGAATGGCTTCAAAGCACTATATTAGTACCATTATTTGATCCTGCAAAGGTAATAATTGCCTATAATTCCTCACATTATCATATTGATATACATAAAATACAAGTAACCGCCAAAGCTTTTCTCAAGTTGAACAATTTCAATATTAAATAGTTCAACTTAGATTAGTCGGGCTTCCCGAGACAAACACTTTTTTTTTATTTCAACATAATCTGAGATACCTGTTACCAATCAACTAGAATTTCACAAAGTATCCATTGATAATTTTTTAGGAAGTCTTTCCTTTGTGCTATCGGAGAATGTGGTCAGTTTGGGCCACCTCTTCCTGAAGGATGTTACTTTGAATATGATTTTAGCACCTGTTGTGGTGGAAGTACCTGTCGTAAGTATAAACTAATGTCATTTGCTATGGTTGTTTCATAAGTTTTGTCTAGAACTGAATAATTTCAAAAAAAAAATCTACAAAAATATTTCGATTATTCTGCGACTCTGAACAAACCGAACATCAAAATTACAAAACGTTATTTTGTCTTTCAGCAACAGAGCCGGTACACAAATGTACTTACGACAACGTAGAATATAAAGAAGGGGAAAGATTTTTCCCAAATAAATCCTGCAGTATGTGCATCTGCCAAAAAGGGTTCAAAGGAATCATTGAAGAACCATTCTGCATACCTAGACAATGCGAAGGACAAATCAGGTTTCAGAAAGAAATCAAGAACTTTTGTGCCCCGGTATATCGAAGGATCGACGATTTGCAGAATGACATCTTGTGCTGCCCAAATGAATATTTATGCCGTGAGTACAGTTTCTTTCTGGTGCATGTTATTTTTGTAAAGAGATGAGTAGGTACCTATTGTTGGATTGAAAAAAGTTTCTTTAACGTTATTTCACGTACTCTTATACATATGGAACCAAGTCCCAAAACGAGCACAACAGAGTGAATCATAAAAAGATACGCAAGGGGGGACCTTTGTAACTGTTTACAGTTCCCATGCCTCACTTAGGTATTTCCATACTCATGAAATCATCCTAAAATCAAGTGCCATGTACCGTTCTCAACAATTTCAGACACTAGATTTTTCTGGTCTTCGAAATCGGATATATTTTCTGTCGGTCTCCTAGCTTATTCCATACCCCCGACTTTTCATAATCCAACGTCCCATCTTCAGGGTCACCTAACATTTGCTGAAGTAGGTATGAAGTTTTGAAAGCTACTTTCACGTTCAAGTTTCTAAAAATACAATTTAAACCATTAGTGTATCTTGGTTCATACGAAAGGACACTGAATGTTATTGTGGTATATTTCTTCTTACAACAAACATTCACCTATTTTTCTTGGAAAATGAACTACTTTATTTGAAGACTCTTAAGTACTTAGCTCTATAAATTGCTCATAAAAAAAATCAATTACCTATCAGAAGGATAAACAATAATACGTCGCCCATTCATTTACTTGACTATGTATTTGATGAATATTTAATGACAATATGTCCTTGGTAAAATAAATAACAAGATACCATTTCTAAAGAATTTCATGACAATCTCATCTCCAATTTTCAGCTGACGGTAAAGAAGTCTTCAACGGGTTACCGACGTCTGCAGAAGAATGCAGATACGGAGCAAAAACTCTCAAAGTTGGCCAAGAGTTCAAGAAAGAGATTAACAGATGGGAAAAATTTGTTTGCAAATGTACAGTACCCCCTCTAGTTACTTGTGTCCCTGAGAAATAACAACTGTTACGCGTTTGTTTTTTAATGTATATAGTAAGAACCACCATTAAAAATATATCCCAAATTGTATTGTTTTTATTGAATCAACTGCTTCAAAGGAACCCACTCAAGAGAATTATGGAGGGTAGGGGTAAGGAGAACCATCATGAATTATGACATACATTTTCGGGGTGCTGATTTTGAATCTGAAGTCAGATTTTTTGTTCCAGCTTTTGAGATATAAGAAAAAGGTGATTTCAAAAAAAAAATTCAATAAATAACAATCCTGTTATTAATACACAGATCCGATCAAATATAACTCATTCACAACAATTAGTCAGTGTAATAAGAAAATAAGTTTTTTCTTATAAAACTTTGAATATCATGTCAATTTTGTATCACGATAAATTAAAGTTATACTCAATCACAATACAAGTCTTACAAAGCATCAACTCATAAATAGCTTATGAAGTAACTCTCATCCCACCATCGTACGTTTCCGACCTCGAGCCCTGACTTCTTCGAATTTCGAAAGCACCTCTTTACCCCCCTGCTTGTACTCTTTCCGGTAACTCTCCAGAATCTTAGGCATCAAACTTTCCGCAACCTTGTGAGTGCTCAGTAACGCCCTCTCCAGCACATACAGATCAACGCCTTTGTCTTCCGCGCTGTTTTCTATGTGTGCCAGCCCAAAGTCTATCAAAACCAAATCTAATTCGTTGAGATCGTCATACTTCTCGACATTGTTTTTGTTTACGAGTAGAATGTTGGACGAAGTGAGGTCCCCGTGAAGGATGTTGCTTTCGTGCAGAGTGCCGAGCAGCTTTCCCAGTTCTGAGGAAAAGAGCAATAGCGTGGACAGTGACGAAGCATCGGACATCGTTTCTATGAACTCTTTGGCGGTGATGCTGTACTGGAAGTATTCCATGAATATCGTTCTTCTCTTGAAATCAACTAAATAAATACTTGGTGTTCTGATACCAGCAGCTTTGCAACGAACTATTGCTCTGCTCTCTGCTTTCATTCTTTCTTTGGTCAAACAGTTATCCAAGTTGGTGTGACGATATTTTTTCTCGAATCTTTCCTTGGCAATCGTAGGTTTTCCCAAATAAAGGCCTTTGTAGAGTTTGGCTTCCGCTCCCTGTTTTATTAATTCAAGACCTTCCATCTAGAAATTAGAAAGGTGATATGAGGTTATACTCATTTTAATGCAATCTTACTTTATATTTTTTCAAAGAAAAATAATCCAGTCAAAACCTTGGAAATCTAGGTATTTGATTCAAATGTATTTATCACATTCTGTTTTTCAATTTTTGCTAAGGACTAGGGACTTTTTCTTCCTTACAATCCTTACTTTTGCCTCTCTCCCTCTCTAATTTCTATGGCCGTTGCTTCTCATTCGAGCGCATTTGGCCAGGCCCTTCCTGTTGATAGTGACAGAAGCTTCGTTTGGGGGCGCAGCGGTCTTACTCAGCAATTCTGCCAACCTAGGTTTCTCATTCCCCTTTTCTTAAAAACACTTCATTTTTACCTGATTGCCTCCTTCTCTGTAGCCCTTCGGATTATATCTTTTATTACTCTGAGACGATACTACTTTGGAACTGACGACCTCGTCGAATTCGTTGATATCCAGCCTGGTTACTGGCGTTGGGGGCCACCAGTCGTCTTTTCACTTCAATATTCATTCAAACGTAACTTTATTTAATCGATTTTCAATTATTGTAAATCGATTCCGGCATTTGTATCGCCAACAGCATATGCAGGAAATACTTCAGTGAAGATTCCTGCACTGACACCTGTCAGATTTAATCTAACGCTGTTCGTGGTATTAGCCAGGGGAGTAGTTGTTTTCTGATAGGCGTCAATCCATTACCCTACAGTGGAGGAAGTTGACACTGGCTTGAATTAATTGTTCCTTTAGATGATTTGAATATTTAATTACTCTGAGGAGTTTGATAAAATGATTTAGTGCACGTGAAGTTGATATTGCTCGTCTTATGATAACAAAAATCTGTGAAATGTTAGTTCAGTATTCTCTGTGATACACAGATGAGTAAAATATAGCAACAATGCCTACTACCGCAAAGCGCTGTGTTCTTCTTATTTTTTATTATGGCATAAGCTGGCAGAACTATCTGCCCAAACCAAAAAGCATTTATTGCTGCCAAAGGATGAACAATATCATCATCATGTGTACAAGATATAGATGATCACTATAGCTTGTTTTTTGTTACGATGCCGATATCCGCATGACCATTTTTGTCGTTTTTGGGATTTTTGATTCCTGAAACACTACATACTAATTCATAAAATGCACTGAATTTTAAAAAATTTCAATTACAATAACAGTAGTAATACGTCTACTTCTTATATCTCTAATATCAGTGTTGCCTATAATGAGACAGACCTTTTTCACGTGGATATAATATTTTACCTTTTTATCATTAAATATATCACATGTTTCACATATAGCCAGTGAGCATACTTAGAGACTGGCAAATCAAATCATCTGAAGGAACAATTTGTTCAGGCCAGTCTCAACTCCCTACACTGTTGACTGGACTGGCACCTAACAGAAAACAACTACTCCCCTAGCTAATACCACGAAGGGCTTTGGAATAATTCCGACAGGTGTCAGTGCGGCATTCTACACAGAAGTTATTCCTGCATATGCTGTTGGCGATACAACTGCCGCAAAAGATTTTCAATTATTGGAACACACTTGCAGACCGGTTTAGGCCTGTTTGGCCACTAATCAGTGTAAGGTACTGTCAATCATCAAAATCATGTCGAATTCCTTCAGAGTATCATTCCTCGAACTAAGCTGAAGCGAACAACAAACAACAGATTTGTTATCGCCCCATCTGCCTGTGAACGGAGTAACTAACCATATGAGGAATTGGGCAGATTTCGGATATGGGGTTGGTTACCTCGTTCATAGTCAGATGGGGCGATGACAAATTTATTATTTGTTGTCCGCTTCAGCCTAGTTCGGGAAATGATACTCTGAGGAAATTCGATTTTCAATTATCGGACATCATCAACATGATGATGATGATGAAAAACACTACCTTGCACTGACGAGTGGCCAAATATCCCGAAACCAGGCTGCAATTGTGTTCCAATAATTAAAAATCTATTGCGGCAGTAATAACGCCAACAGCATATTCTGTTGCAGCATATGCAAAATTTATGTTTCATATATGGTAAGGGGACATACATGGAGACTGGCTGTAAATCAAATTACCTGAAATAACAATTCGTTCAGACCAGTCTCGTCTCACTGACACTTTTCGCACAATATATACAGGTACAGTATACTTATATATAAGTATACTGTACCTGTCGGATATAATCCAACGCCCTTCGTGGTATTAGCCAGGTGTCAGTCCATTAACCAACAGTGTAGGGAGTTGAGACTGGCCTGAACTGATTGTTCTTTTAGGACAATAGATTGAAGTGGATTCGTATAAAACTTTTCAAGTTTCCGACTAATGTGTTTGTTGGCAACACTGACAAAATGGTCCTTCATTATCGTTAAATATTCGGCAACTGTCGTTATTCGTTAGTTTGGGGCGAGTGAACCTGTGCCATGCATTGATGTTAGACAATATTGTTTAATTTGGCATGATATTTTGTGTAAAGTGGAATCTGTCGAAGATTTTGCGTATTTATTGAACAGAAGTGTTGATGCAATCGATTTTCAATAGTGCATTTCTTCGTTTCGTGTCATCAATGAAGAGATTGTAGTTGCAGGTATGCGATTATTCGAAAAGCAAAGGAGGTAGCATAACTTCTCATTAGAATAAGTGATAGCTCAACGAGGAGTATCTGGTGAACTCACACGCGATAATTTCTAAGAAATGCCGGCTTCGATTCTGGAACCCGTTAACGCAGCCCTTCGAACCGCTCTTTCCAAAAAAGAATCGGCTGAAAATGTATTGGACACGCAATTAGCGGGAAGCACGAAAAAGGCATTACTGGCCAACATCGAATTCGAGAGCGGCGGAAGCTACCAGAGCACCGTTCTAGACAAACTGAAATCAAAATACATAGTATTGAAAAGTTCTGAGACACAGTCTGCCAGGTACGTACTCATTCAATCTCAAACTTCGCCCCACAACACTCTTTCTTCAATCCACAGTAAACCAGAAGAAGGTATGGGTGCTGACGAATCCCTCAAGTTGTCCAAGCGGGAACTGTATCCTTTAGATGCCGTCCAGCTCGGGTGGAATAACTGTGACTGGTCTGTTGGCGCAGGGATGGTTAATATGGGGAACACATGCTACCTCAATTCTACGTTACAAGCTCTCTTTCATGTGCCGGCCTTGGCTAATTGGCTCATGTCCGATAAGGAACACTTAGCGCAGTGTCAGGATTCAGGTTAGTACAATCTTTATTTATTTATCTATCGGTAACCCCCAAAAGTGCACGCACATTCTCTGAATCCAAGGAACTGTATTGAATTACTATGGCTCCAAGTGGCTTCCTTGTGATACCTCCGAACTAACAGAACGTGCTATGTAGAACGTGCTATGTATTTCACTGAGTATCTTTAACATTGGGAGTAGAATAATGAAATTCCTTTGATTTTTTTCAAAACTATTTATTTAGAATGTGGTATCTGGCAAGCCATACTTTGTCTTTTATTGTTCATGAAGTTGCAACAGTATTTTATAATTGTTGTCACAATATTTTCCATTTTTTTTCAATATAATTTTCATCACAAATTTTTCTCGCTAGTTTGCATCGAGCTCCTACATTAGAAAATACAGGTAGTCACCTCAATTTTTACTTTCTTTATATGAATCATTATTTGCGGTTACACGTTCTTTAGATTATTGTCTCATCTCATTAAGTAGGAGAAATTATTTTCCCGTTAACTGAGGTTTTTTTTTCAATTGACAGTTCAACAGTTATATTGATACTGTTTTGAATGTTTCAGGTGGCTTGTGCATAATATGTGCCATGCGGAAAACTCTAATAGACGCCCAACAACGTAGCTCAAATACAATCCGTCCAGTTTTAATTTATAACAGACTTCGACTGGTGTGTCGAAACATGATCCCCGGCAGGCAAGAGGATGCCCACGAGTTCCTCCGGCACTTGGTGGAAGCTATGGAGAAGGCGTACCTCAGCCGTTTCAAAGATTCCTCCCAGTTTGATTCAAAAATCAAAGAAACGACGCCTCTCAATCAAATACTGGGAGGGTATCTGAGATCAGCCGTGCGGTGTTTGAAATGCGGCCATGTCAGCACTACGTTCCAGCATTTTCAGGACTTGCTACTGGATATTCGGAAAGCGCATACTCTGGACGAAGCACTGGAGTTGTACTTCGCTAGAGAAAAACTGGATGACGAGACCTATCACTGCGAATCATGTCAGAAGAAAGTAAGTAGGTTTGGAATACCTTTTCCTTAAAAAGTAAATAATTGGAATGTTGAATTGCTTGTTAAGAATTTATACAGAGAAGTTTCATGCAAAAAACTTACACATATATTCTATAATTGTGACCTAGATTATGACAACTAGTCACTTCAATTGAAGTAAATGTGAATATACCACCTTTTGAAACAAAAATGTTTGCCACAGTTTGATAAATGATTATTTACTCAAAAAGCAGACAGTTGCATTTCTTTGATACCAAAGTATCATTCACACTTCTCATAGAGAAAAGTAATGGCTGTGAGAAGAATTGTATATTGTGTCCTGTTTGGACAATAAAAGTTTTTTTGGAACATCAATAAACCAAGCTCTATAGTCCCAATGTGGGTAATCAATCACTTTCTTTTTCCAGAAGGTGACTACAGTCCGGTAGACCGGCCTTTTAAAAATGCTTGACTCGGAATTGTAATATTTTTGTCTTGCCACATCTTTTCATTGGCATATCTTTCATTGTACCAAGTTTAGCCCAGATAATAAATTTTCCAACAATCTACAGATATGTATGTATATTTTTTCTTTTGAAAGTACTTGCAAATGTTCATTATTTTCTAATATATATAAATTACGTGTCACGTTTGTCTGCGATGTACTCCTAAACTACTTAACCAATTTAAATCAAATATGCACACCGTGTGCAGTTTGATCCAACTTGAAAGATAGGATAGCTTACATCTTAATTTATAGTGGCAATATTATTTTATTGCAAATTATTTGTCTATTATTTGATATTTACAATGGGGAATGTTCCTCCTGACGAAAATCAAGTAGTTTTCATAAAAGAGCTCTAAAAAAAACGCATTTTAAACTTATCATTTCAACCTTTTAGAAACTAGACTAGTGAATAATCAAAATGGTTTTGCTTTCTGTCGATGAAAAAATTGATTTATAAACAAATGATTCGTTTCAGGTACAAGCTACAAAACAATTTTCTTTGGAAAGGGCCCCCATGGTGCTGTGCATCCAGCTGAAGAGATTCTCAATCAGCAACAATAAGATAGCCAAACCTATAATGTTCAGAGAGAGATTAGATCTGACGAGGTACTCGAGGCAGCGCCCTAACGTACCTCTCATCTATAGACTGGTTTCCATCGTGACCCACATGGGCCCCACTGTTAGTTGTGGACACTATACTGCAGTCGCTCAGGCACCTTCTGGTAATTTCTACCAGTTTGATGACAGTATGGTGAGCATCATTTCTATAACAATACCGTCTTCAAACGAACTCTTTTCGATATATACGATTCAGTTCCTCATAATTAAAAAAGAAATAAATATGAATATTCAATCAAAAAATATTTGAAAGGATGTTTCCTATTTTCTTTCAACATTTTCTATTTTTTATTTAGCCGTTCACTGATAACTTCTTCACTTTATATATGTGTGTAAATTTGTATATCACACAAAATGGCTGATACATTACATACATTTTTTTATATTTCATTGTACTAGTGTTATTATTACACTTATAGTTATGTATATTAGATTTCCTATTTCAAATAAATAAAGATATTATTATTATTCATATACAGAATGCAAAGGATACCACGTTCCAATGATGCTCTGAACAAGGCAAAGAAAATTATATACCAAATAGCAAACGAGAACTGGTACACCCAAAGGACAATAGATTAATTAGAAAATAGAATCAAACTAAATATACAGAACAAGGATCAAACTACTCCAACAGATAAAACAACACAACGATGGACTGCATTCACATACATGGGTCACCAAAGCAAAAAATTAACAAACATCTTCCAACCCTTGAACATCAACATCACTTACAAACCGAACACAATACAGAAATAACTTTCCCCTACAAGAAAACATCAAACTCATAAAACAAGTCAATAAAGGAAACCCTATGGACATCTGGGAAAACCTAAACTTGCATAAATTCAAAAGTCATAATTCACTTATCGAGGAACAAATACAAATCAAAACACAACAAGACCTAATATTCAATATACTTCACAAAACAAAACACATTCCTAGAAACAATGAACCTAGAGAAACACCACACAGGATATTACTTGGTGGCAAATTTAAAGAGACATTCAGATGAAAGGAGAGGACAAATACCTGCACTGAGGCATTCTAACAGTATAAATGAACAAACAAGAAGATAAAACGTTCAGTTTGAGTAGAGCATTGAGGAGGATAGCACAGCCTGCTATCAAAAACGCGTATACACATAATTATAAAATGTTTTTGACTAATTCTTTATTTTTTAGTAATCGATGAAAATATTCTTTTCTCTGCTTCTGTGGCTGTCCCTCATATTTGATTTAGAGTTGAATCGTTTTATATTTACCGTTCTATTCAGGAAGTCCTTTCATTTCTTACCCATGTCATGGGTTACCTAGTTCGCCATCTTGGGTGGTCCGCCTTAATGAATTTAGAGTGGCGTCATGTTATTTTATTTTAAATTTGCCACCAAGTAATATCCTGTGTGGTGTTTCTCTAGGTTCATTGTTTCTAGGAATGTGTTTTGTTTTGTGAAGTATATTGAATATTAGGTCTTGTTGTGTTTTGATTTGTATTTGTTCCTCGATAAGTGAATTATGACTTTTGAATTTATGCATGTTTAGGTTTTCCCAGTATAAAAAGAAAACAATGGCATGTGTTACATCGTTGAATTTGTAATAAAAAATGGAATCAGATACAGGGTGTATATTCAAAATGTATTTAATTCTCTTCAGTTCATTCTCAACTGCAGTAAAGTAACATCAGCAAATGCTCCACTCATATTGCCGAAAAAACTACTGAATTGGGTTATAAAATTTGCGGACTATTCAAAAATACGGAGAATAGTCATGGCTTGTTCCAGATTTTTGACTGAAAACAACACCGCACTTGTGCGTAAGCCACCGTATTCCTCAGATTTGGCACTCTTTTTTCTGTTCCCAAGATTGATGAGATCCATGAAAGGACTGCTTTTTGCAACAATTGAGGACATAAAAACTGAATAAACTTGAACTTGAGAAAAATCAATACTCGTCTGATTTTTTTGAAAAGACAGCATACATGAACCTTGCGCAACTCCAACATCAACTGAATATTTATCCGACTGAACACCATATAGTTTTTCAAAGGGTTGTCTATTTATCTGTTATTAAATGAATTACAAGATGCACGTTTATAATGTAAAAAGAATTAAGCATTATTGTCTAAATCAAGTTGCAAAATAAGTTTTCATTATGGCTGTAAAGATTTGTTTTCAAATGTTTCTGTAAATAACTCTTCGGAACCACCAAAATTCTCAAGGCAGTTGATAAGAAGTACAATTAAACTTTAATAACTCAACCACTGTAAATATTTCAGTATCGAGTTTGAGTTAGCATGTGATGCTAACTTTATTTTTTCAATAGAATTATTGCATTTGAAACTTTTGGTGTTTCTAATTTTGAACTTTCCTGACTAATATCTGACAGTTGAAACCTACCTTGACCGTGTTACTTGTTACATGCAAATGCATCATTTTCCTCTTCTTCATAAGTTAACATTTACGTCAAATCCTTCCACAATCTTCAGATCACCTTAATTAGTATTAACGATAATTTTATTTTAAGAAGCTTGTGGCAGACTTTACACTATTCAGTTTATCAATAATTGTAGATGCATGTTGATTTCAGATCAGTCATTAGTGTGAACTCTTTTCTTCCTTCTCTCTTTTATTATTCTTTCACCTTTTTTCATCTTCCATATTTTCTTTTTCATCTTTCATCGTATCATTCAGATATACGTTAATTTCAGATCAGACACTAGCATGAATGATCAAATTGTTTACTTTTGTTTTGACTATTCTCTTCCCCCTTTTCTCTCCTCTTTCTCTTCTCCTCTTGATCTTCTCTCTTACGACTCTTTTCTCCATTCTCTCTATTTTATTATTCCTTAACTTCTTTCATCTTTCATAATTTCTTTCTCATCCTCTCTTCATTTTCTCCTCATATATTCGTTTTTTTTCTACCTCTCCTTCCTCTTGAATTTTTTCTTTTGTTCTTCCTTCTCTTGTATTACTATTCAGCTATTCACTTGCAGATGTATATTGATTTCAGATCATACACTAGTATGAATTATTAAATTGTTCACATTATCTCTTTTTCTCTCTTCCCTCTCCTCTCTTTCTCTTCCCTTTCTCTTCTCTTTCTCTTCTCTTTCTCTTCCCTTTCTTTTCTTTTTCTCTTCCTTCTCTTTCTCTTTTTTTCTCTTTCTCTTTTTTTCTCTTTCTCTTTTCTCTATAATTCTATATTTTACTATTTCTTTACTTCTTTCATCTTCCAGAGTTTCTCTCCCATCTTTCATCGTATTATTCAGTTTTCTACCTTTCCTCCTTCTTTANACTGCGCAAAGCGTAACTGCGCAAAGCGTAACTGCGCAACACCAAACTATACCGCGCTCTCATTGGCTGGTGTCCCAGAATCGGCTTTGGTAATCTACTCATGATATAAATAAGGACAACATTGTATGTAGATTTAGTTTAATTTTTCTCTTGAAGATGATAAATTGGTGATTGAAACACGTATCGAGTTGTTAAAAAAAAGTTTTGGTGTTGGGATACAACTCCTTTACACATCAAAGGTTCCAATCAGTGCATCACAAGGCAGCTTTAAAATTAATGACGCAAAGTTACTCACACAAATTTAATTTTCCTTCCGACAAAAAAAAACTCAAGATATCGAGGTTAATATGAGAGGTTATTATTGTAGAACATATTTGACAATTGATATTTCAATCCGGCAGGTAGAGTCAAGGGTGTCAACGAAAGCGGCTGTCGGTGAGTGGCAAGTGACTTCTTCGACGGACGTCGGACAAGAACTGACATCTGACGCCAGGAGTTGGGACGGCGCCGCGAAAAATGAACCCGCGGGGACGGCGCAGCAGCAACAGCAGAACGGCAAGAGCGCTGTTGTGAACGATCTGTTCAAGATGTCCCACGGCGGGTACTCGGCCCCCGTGTCATCCTGGAACGGCACCCGTTCGCAGCTCGACAAGGAGGTGCATACTGAGCGGCGCGAAGAAAGGAAGCGGGCTCTGGCCGACAGCTCGGACCAGGGTAGGACGAAGCACCAGAAGACTGGCGGCGCAGGCTATAAGTCGAATCCTGGATATAACCCTGTGCAGGTTCGTATTCGGATATGAGTGCATGCGCTTATTTAAACCGTGATTGTCCCGAGTTTCTTGAATTATTTGAAGCGTATCATGGAAGGCTTATAAATCTTTAAGGTAAAAGGTAACGTGAGGTACTGAATCAACGTTGAATTAAAACTGCCTAAATTGAAAAAACTTTTATAGTATGTAATAGTGTTCTATTTATTTGGGTTACCTTGATGTACAAAAGTTCATTAAAAATATAATACATAATAGGAATTGCCATTATCTATGATATTTATTTTCTTGGTTGAGAAGTACAGCTGAAAGAAATCAGTGCACAACAAACAAAATGTAAATAAAATGAATGAAATTCTGGATCAATTTCATGTATTTCCTGTATATACCTGCTGTGTATATACACGTTGTTTATATATACACACTGTGAACATTTACTCGTTGTGTACTTATACACTTTGTGCACATATATGTGTTCTGTTGTAAACATATACATGTAGTGTACATATACGCGTCGTGTACATATACGCGTGGTGTACATGTACATATACGCGTGGTGTACATGTACATATACGCATGGTGTACATATACGCGTCGTGTACATATACGCGTCGTGTACATATATGCATTGTATATGTATGTACATTGTATGTGTATGTTTACGCGTTGTGTGCATATACACGCGTTGTCTATATACGCGTTATGTGCATACACACACACACACACACACACACGCATGGGGTGTATATATACGTTGTATATATACATACGTATGTATATATACGCTGTGTGTATATACATGCACATGTATGTGTGTACATACACGTTGTGTATATACGCGTGTATACACACAACGCGTATATACGCGTTGTGTGTATGCATTCTATGTATATATGCATTGTGTGTATATCTATACGCGTTGTGTATCTATACATGAGCGTTGTGTGTTTGGAAAGTAGGTACTGGTGATCCTTAGCAATTGTTGAGCAATGTGCATCATCACCACTTATTTGTTTTTTTGCAACGTCGATTCACCCGTAGATAGCACTAAGAAGGTATTTCAAACATTTTTGGTTTCAAAAGAGTATTTTCTCATTTCGTGGTAACCGCATGAGTAAAAAAAATAAAGGGTCAGATTTCATTTTTACGCGCTTTTCAATGAGCCCATACACGAAATAGCATTTGAAAAAAAGTTGGAGAGGGTTGCAGCTAACGGGTCGAAAAAAATATTTCATTTTATTGCCAGAAAATGCGTAAAACGTGAAATCAACTGACGTGTTTCAGCGTTTTTTTCCTAAAATACTTGTTGAAAAGATATTAATTTTATTCCGGACTTTTACACGTCCCTGTATGTGCGTATATTGATGGTGGTGTCATATACAAAAACAGTAACTTCTCCCCTGCAGATATATCTGGGAAAATCATTAACGAATAGCGTATTGACCCCAGAACAGGGCCTTGTGGAACCCCAAACGAATCAAATTGCCTGCCTGATGGTTCATTTTCGATTTTAACTGAAATCACCTTATTTTCTGAATACGATTTGATCCAGATCAACAGTATGTCTCTAATGACAATTCTCATTCCCTGATAAGTTACCGAATGAATTCAAATATGCTCTTTCCAAAGAGAAATACCCTAATTGTCAGTTGAGCTGTTTTTCCTGGAGAAAAAAGTTAGTTGCTGTGTTTAATGACTTTAATTCTAAAAATACACCGGTTTTTTTTCAGGAGTACCACAATGCTAAGAACTGGGGCCACAACAACAACGGCTCCGGGAACTACAAGTCCTTCTACAACGGCAATGGCCGACATCGGCGCCTCTTTCACCACAAGGGCTACCACAAAAACTTTCGCTATCGACAGTGATGGGTTGACTTGAATATTTTTAGCAAAGTGTAATTGTAAATTTGTGCATATGTTTTCGGCGTGTATTATGACATTTGCATCATCGAATAGATGGTTTGATTGATTCCGTGATTTTAAGATTGTACTTGAATGTTACTATTTTATAAGCCTAGCTTTAGCTTGATTTTGTATATTAGGAAAAGGTATTTATTTTTTGTTTTCTCTCCTTGATATGCATTTACCAACCTACCGTCTGTCCTTTCTGTAATATATTTTTAAAGGTTGCCAGAGATTGTTTTGCTCACATCCATGATTCTAATATTGAAGAACATCTAGAAAGCAGTAGAATGTTGTGATGGTAGCAACAACTGTTATTTTAAATTATAGTTTCGAAATTATATAATTTCACCGACGTTTCGACAAAATCTGATTTGTCATTATCTAGGTGTGCTGTTACGTGTTCAGAATCACATACATCACATACATACACGGATCAAATACCCGGAAAAACCAGTTTAGCATATTCCTATCCGTGAAAACTTCAGATTTCATATTCGATACCTTAATGGGGAGATGAGGTCAACTAAGAAAAAGAAGAACACAGGTAAAACTTAACAACATTCAAGTAGTAGGTAGTAGAGAGTTTATGGACACTCTATCTCTGAACACGTAACGAATACTACTTTACCAGTATAGTAAGAAGTGAGTTGAGCAGGGTCAAAAAACTTCTGAACACGTAACCTCACACCTAGATAATGACAAATGAGATTTTGTCGAAACGTCGGTGAAATTAGAGATAATATCACATACACGGATCAAATACCCGGAAAAACCAGTTCAGCATATTCCTATCCGTGAAAACTTCAGATTTCATATTCGATACCTTAACGGGGAGATGAGGTCAACTAAGAAGAAGAAGAACTC